CTTTGGCCCTGGCGCATCGACGCTGCGACCTCAGTCGCAGAGCCGCCGACCGCCCATGGGATTCTCATGTTGCGATGACAGGGATTTAGGTTCACTTCTTGCCTGCTTTCTTTGTTGTGCTGGCAAGGTGGCCAACTACAACGACCTGGTCCTGTCCACCGCCCTGCTGATCCTGTTGCTCCTCGCATCCCCGCTGCTGCGCCTGGACCAGACGGACACCAGCTTCCTTGTGGCGGTGCTGCTCACCTGCGTGCTCTGCGTCTTGCCCTTGGCGGCGATCTCCTCAGCCTGCATGGCTGTCTCCGTGCGCTTGCGGTCCCAGAGCAGGTACGATGCCTTCCTCTGCCACCACAAAGCAGGTGCCGGGGCCTTGTGCCGCTTCTTCAAGCTCATCGTGCACAAGTACGGCCGCATGAACATCTTCCTGGACTCCGACGAGCTTGACGACCTCGCCCGTATCTTCGAGATCGTCAGCTCCGACACGCGGTGCCTCGTGGCCGTGCTCACGCCCGAGCTGCTGCAGCGTGCCCGTGCTGCAGTTTTATTTTCTGGTTTGCCCCGCCTCTTTACCCCATCAAGCTTCTCTCTCCGGGCGCCAGGCATGTGGTGTGCAGGGGAGATGACGAGTGCCCGAAAGTACGGCATCCCCATCATCCCGCTCTACTGCGATGGCTTCGCCTTTCCGGACGAAGACTGCATCAACAAGATCGAGTCCGTGTGGACCGAAGAGCAACAATACACCTTGACAAGCCACGGCATCGCCATCGAGGACATCAAGGCGGGACGATTGTCTGCGATTTCTGCTCCCGCCTTTTGAGTAAGCAATCTGCAGTGCCCTGGGAGGCCACCTACCGGCACGTCAGCACGCTAGAGGGCTATGCTCTGAGCCGGCACAGCAGCCTGGAGGAGCAGGAACGCCTGGTGCTGGACGTGGCCGCGGCCGTGCTGCGAGGCGGGGGCACCTGGCATGCGGCATGTGATGGCAGTGCTTCGCAGTGTCACTGTTCTTCCTCGCCAGGCGCTCGGCGGGCGGAGGTGGCGGCGCAGGGCTCCGTGAGCAGCGCGCGCATCCTGCTCTGCTCCAGCGAGAGGGAGCCCGAGGCCATCTCCACTGTGCGCCCTGCCAGCAGTGAAAGCCCGTCGCAGAAGCGCGTCGCAGAAGCGCATGAAGCGCGTCAGAAGAGCTCGCTTGCAGAGGCTGATCCTGCAGCAGATGGTGCAGCAGCAGCTCCGCATCGCCACCTTCCGCGTTCGGAGTTTGAAGGACATCGCAGCGGCCAACAGCGCCTCCTTCGCGCTGGTCTTGTTGAGCCAGGGGGTCCTCGAGGACCCTGACTTCGCGCTCCAGATCGGGCAGATGCGTGCCACGGCGGCAAGCAGCACCAAGAAAGGTCTGCGGTCTGCAGCTACGTGATATGACATGCCCGGGCCTCCTGCCTGTCAGGAGCGCAGGGGCTGAGCTTTGTGCCCGTGAACGACGGCACCTTCCAGTTCCCGCCACCGGACTTCTACATGCAGGCGGACGAGGGCCGCAGCCGCAGTGCGGTAGGCTAGATCGGCTAGATGTAGAGGTATGATTGTTGTCCTCAGGTGGAGGAGGTCGGCGTGGCCGGGCTCGGGCCAAACGCCGGGCGCAGCTTGGCAAAGGCCTACCAGGCCCCGTGAAATCGTGCCACAACTCCTCTCTATCCTTCTCTACCTCTCTCTTGGCTCTCCCCTCTTTCTCCCTTCCCTCGTGCCAGGCGCTGCTGGGCATCCTCGCGCTGCCCCTGACGCCCCACGCCTCCAGCGGAATCCTCGAGAGGCGCGGTGCCGGCCACAGCCTTTTTCCATGCATTTTTCGGCTTGACATGGCCCTTTCCTGGCCCCTGCAGGCAGGTGACGCAGATCTGCCAACGGTTCGGAAACCTGGAAGACCTGCTCGAGCGAAGGCCAAGCCCGGCCAGGTTGCAGGGTTTAGTGACTAGTGCGCCTCCATGTCTTTGCCAGGACGCAGTCCAATCAGTCCACCAACAGAACCACCACCGCCGACGAGGTCGGCGTCGCTGACATCTCCATGTCCCTTACAGGCAGGAAAGTTGCCTGAGAGCTTGTGGACCTCTGACTCTGCTCCACTCCATCCGCAGATGCACCGAGAGAGAGGGAGAGAGAGAGAGAGAGAGAGTACCTACGTACGTACGTACGTGTGTCTCTCTCTCTCTCTCTGTGTGTGTGTGTGCGTGTGTGTTGCTCTGTTTGGCTGTGTAGAAGAAGAGAGAGAGAGAGAGAGAGAGAGAGAGTGTGTGTGTGTGTGTGCGTGTGCGTGTGCACATTTTGATGTAGATCGTCGCAAGACGTCGCAAAGCTGCAGCCCGGAGGTAAAGCCCTGACCGCAACCGGTTCAAGCATGTCGGTCGAGGGACAACCAAACTCCCTGCAGGTAGCCACAAAATCATTGTAGTACCATGAGAGCAACGACGAAGCGATGCTGGCAGTATCGTAGTGGCAATATTTTTCCGAACCCCCCGCGCAAGAACAAGCAAGAACAGCAGCATGACGACCAGCCATGCTTAACAAGTTGCATAAACCCGAAACCCTATACCCTATATTAACCCTAAACCCTAAGCTTTTTTCAGCCCTAAACTCTAAACCCAAGACCTAATCACACGGTCAACCTAAGTCCGCCAATCACCGAGCAGATTCCTGAACCCCATACCCAGAGCCCTAAACCTAAAGGGACTGCCCGGAAGATCACAAGAAGCGGGCTTAGGTTAACGGGTTTGGTTTTCCGGGGTTCAGGGTTTATAGTAAGCCCCAAAAAGTTGGAAACCGGATTAAGGACAAAAGGCTATTGGGCTTCCAACTTTTGGGCTTCTACTGTAAGCCTAACCTCAGAAACCAACCGCTAGAATCCTAAAGTATGAATCTCAAGCCTCCGGCCTCCCAAATCGCAACCCTAAACCCTAACCCCTAAACCCTAAAGCCCTAAACCCTAAAAGCCTAAACCCTAAACCCTGAAACCCTAAACCCTAAACCCATATAGAGCCCATACGTGCAGCTGAAGCCGCAGAGCCCGGGTCCGAACCCCCAAAGCCAAAACGCAGGCCCCAGAGCCCGGACAGGCCCTGATGAAGCCTCATGATTTGTACTACGGGGTTTGGGGTTTGGGGTTTGGGGTTTGGGGTTTAGGGTTTAGGGTTTAGGGTAAGGACCCTAAGCTATGGGAATTCTGGCATATTCCTTGTTATGGGTAATGCAGGATTTATATCATCAACCGTAGAATTGTTCGCACTACTTTTATTATCATTCGTATTAGTAGAATTATTCGTATTAGTATTAGGAGTATTACCATCAGTCATTCTTCATATTATTATTAAAACCAACGAGGACCCCGAACTGAAGCCAAAGCGGCGCCCTGCTTTCAGTGCTTCCAAAATCGGAAGAACACCGCAGTAGACTGGGACTGGGTTTTGGCCTAAACCCTAAACCCTAAGCCCTAAATTTTAGGGTTTAGGGTTTGACGGGAACCCCTTCGGCCGTGAAGATGCCGGGAGAGCCAGCCACAACCCGGTCCCGACTGGGGCGGTTTGCAATCATTTGGGATCTCTAAGGGTCTCTACAAGGGTTCTATAAGGGAATTAGGGAATATACCTTAAATGGTCGGGGCCGGAGTATCAAGTTTTCTAGTTGCATTCGGCTGGTTTGCTCCCCCTTCCTCAAAAGCGTTGCTTGAGAAATCATGTTTCTCAACAGCTTTGTTGGTCAAATCTAGTCTTTTTTGAAGGCTTTGTGCACATCTTTCTCAGATTTTCGAGTTCCGTTCCACTGCTTTGTTTGTCAACTCTTGCAGGCTTCGTGCACCTTGCTATCTAACTTTCGAGTTCCTTTGGACTGGTTTGCCACCCTTTCCCAAAAGCACTTTGATTTTCAAGTCTCTTTCGAAGGGTTTGCGCACTTTTCTCGTTCTTTTCGACTGGTTTGTTCGCCTTGCTCAAATTCTTTGTCTGTCAAGTCTTGTCTGTTTCGAAAGGTTTGTGCACCTTTTTCTCATGTGCTTTGCTACCCTTTCTCAACAGTTTTCGAATATTCAAGTCTAGTCTCTTACCTCAGGCTTGCACATTTTCTCAGATTTTCCAAATCTTTTCGAGTGGTTTGCTTTCCGTTCTCAGCAACTTTGTTTATAAGACCTTTTATCTTTCGAATAATTTGCCCTTTTTCTTATCCTTCTAGTTCCTTTCGACTGGTTTGCTGCCTTTCTCACAAGCATTGCTTGTCAAACCTAGTCTGTTTTGAAGCGGCTGTTTTGCATCCCTTTCTCAAGGTTGTTTGTCAAATCTAGTCTCTGTCGATCGATTTTTGCATCCGTTTCTCAACTTTTCTAGTTCGATTCGACTGGTTTGCTAGCGTTTGTCAATAGCTTTGCTGGTCAAATCTAGTGTTTTTCGAAGGGCTCGCACCTAGTTCCCTTCGGCTGGTTTGCCCCCTTTCTCAAAAGCATTGTTTGTGAAAATCTAGTCTGATCAGGCAGTTTGCACTTCTTCCCAGATTGCCCAGTCCTGTGTCTCAAGTTCTCCTCTGTGTCAAATGCTCTACTGGGGTGATCCAATTCTTCTCAAGATCTCTGCTCCCTTTTTGAGTTTCGAGTGGTGCATGTTTGTTTCACAAAGTGTCGAATCCTTTTCGATTGGTTTGCACCTCTGTCTCAAGATCTGCTCTGTGCCTCTGCCGAAAGCTTTCGTACTGTTTCTCAATTTTCTCATCCTTTTCGACTGGTTTACTCCTCCTTTCTCAAGTTCTCCCCCTTTTCGTAAACCCTGGACCGTTTCAAGCGATGTGCTTGGGTTCCTAACACCTTTCTAGTATCCTTCGACGGGCTTGTTTCTGATCGTCAAATTCTTCGGGCCGTCTCGGTTAAATTTGTTGGGTGCTTTCGGGCGGGTTGCTCCTGTTTCTCAAGTTTTCTAGCCCTTTTCGACGGGTTTGTTCCACGTTGTAAACGTCCTCTCCATGCATCCATGTGTGAACCCTGATAAGCCCGATGTAAATCTCTATAAAACCCTAAACCCCTACACCCCTCAACCCTAAACCCTGAACCCTAAAAACCTACAACCTAAGAACCCTTATGTGTACAAGCCTGTGGGTTCAAACACCCTAAACCCTAAGCCCTGAACCCTAAACCCTAAACCCTAAGCCCTAAACCCTAAACCCTAAGCCCTAAACCCTGAACCCTACACGCCAGGCTTCGATGACATGGACTTGGACACCTCCAAGGAGACCCCGCAGGACCCGAGCTTCGATTTCTCTGGGTTTTTGGGGGTTTTAGGGGTTTTAGGATTTTGGGGTTTAGGGTTTAGGGTTTAGGATTGTTTATGGGGCCCTATAGGCTTACAGGTGAGGGTTAAGGGTTTAGATATGATTCAGAGTTTAGGGTTTAGGTTTGCAGTTGAGGGTGTAGGTTTTAGGGTTTCGGGTTTAAGTTCTGGGCGAGGCTTTTTGGGTTAAGGGTTTAAGGTTTTAGTTTTGCACGTTTTTTGCTGAAGGGGGAGGAGAACTTTGTTTTTCTTGGGGGGGAGGGGGGCGGGCTTTGCTACTTGTTGACCGGATATAGAGTGTGATGGGTTTGTTTTGCTCGTAGACAGTTTCTAACGGGGTCTGGTTGGTTGGCAGATGTTATGGTTCTTTACCAGATGCTAGAGGTTTTCATGCCCTAAACCCTGAGCCCCTAAAGCCAAAACCCTAAAACCTAAACCCTGAAGCCCTAAACCCTAACACCCTAGACCCTAAACCCTAGAGAGAGCTTTTGAGCGGCAGCGTCAAGCTTGCGTTTGCACAGACCACTCGTGCGGTGAAGGTCAGGGCTTGGGCGGAGGCTTTGGGGTTTAGGGTTTCAGGGTTTGGGGTTAGGGTAAGAGGCTTTAGGGTTTAGGGTTTCAGGTTTCGTGGTTTGGGGTTTAGGGTTAGGGTTTCAGGGTTTTTTGGGGTTTAGGGTATTAGGGTTTAGGGTTGCAGGGTTTGGGGTTTAGGGACTTGAGATCAGGAGCACAAAAGGGTTTCGGGTATTGAGATGGCTCAGGATAGATTTTCGGCCATTTGGCACGGACCATGGCAATACTAGGTGTGATCAAGGTGTCTGATGATATGTAGACCAGTCGAAACCCACATGCCAGAGATAGAAAAAATCGCAGCGCATCCGAAGGATCTGAGTGAGGATCGCGAAAGCGAATATTCTGTCCATAAGGACCTCTGGTACACCTGAGATCGGCACTCTGGTTCAGCCACCGCGATGCTCAAAGTCCAAGCTCAAAGTCTTGGGGGACCCCGAGAAACCTTTAACAATCTAGATAGGCCTTTGGGATATTTCATGTTTCCCTTCTTCAGCTTAAGAGGAGGTTCTGTAGGAATAGTGTTCAGAGGCGTTAACATGCCAATCTAGACTTCAACAGTGTCGAAACAAGGCTTCTGCTTGGAGATGCCAGGGGCATGGATCCCTTTGAACGTGGACTCCGACACTCTTCAAAGTTTAGGGTTTAGGGCTTAGGGCCCAACATCGGAACCTGACGAAGACATCGCCCAGTACACTTGCAGATTCAGACACTTAATGTGAACCAGCATCGTGGGACCCATGTTCTAGAACCCTACTAAGAGCCATGGAGTTCCTAAGAACCATGGCCTAAGAGCTATGGAGTTCCTAACTAAGAGCCACGGGGTTCCGAAGAGCCGCGGAGTTGCTCCATCAGGTTCCGAGATCATGAAACCTTCCTCCAAGCACGACATCCCCCCCCCAGAAGAGCCCCAGTTGAACCCTTAAGAGCTTGTCGGCACAGTCCTATCCACAAAGAGCTTCCGAGTCTACATGCTGAGCGTTGAGCTTTAGTCGGCTTTTCCGCAAGTTTGCACCATTCGCAAGTCCTCCGACTGAGCAGTTGCTCCCTTGCTTCTGTAACGGAGATGCAGCCGTTTGGTATTTTATGGATCCGGGCTTCGAGAACGGTTGTCTTGATGATTAGCATGTTGCCCATGTGTGCTCGATTCTCCATTTGTTCCTAACCGGATAATGTGGATCTGTCTTTAGTGCCCGCCCCCCGCCATGTGCCGACACCTTGATTTTCATCATCCCCGTGTGATCCGCAGAACTCACCGTCAATAGAGCTTTCTTCATTCAATATGAGTGAGGTAGCAGCTTCCAGCAATCGTAGCTGTAGTGCGCATCGTATATGACTCTGTAGCATCTGAATCGTAGAAATATTGCTATCAGTAGCAGAACTTACAGTTCCCATAGCAACAAGAGGAGGAGGAGCAGCAGTCAGTAGTACGAGCACTAGTACTAGTACTAGTAACTTACTAGTAGTCGTAGTCGTCGTCGTCGTCGTCAGTAGTAGCAGTAGCAGTAGCAGTGGCAGTAGCAGTAGCAGTAGCAGTAGCAGTACCAGTAGTGGTAGTGGTGGTGGTAGTAGTAGTAGTAGTAGTAGGAGGAGGAGGAGGAGTTGTTGTAGTCGTAGTCGTTGCAGTAGTCGCAGTGGTAGTGGTACCGGTAATTGCAGAGGCAGGAGTAGGGTGGTAGTAGCTGGTAGCCGTTGTTGCAGCAGTAGATGATGGTGCGCAAGCGTGTATGCGTAGCAGTCATTCATACAGAATGCCAATCACGCGAGTATCTTTACAACAACGGCATGCAGCGGCCATGCTATTGATACGGGTCATGGTGCCATCACTAGCAGCAACGACACACGAGACTATCGTCAGATTGACCACTGAGACGATTCTTAATTGGAGTATGCGTCGCTTGCTGAGCTCCGAGATACTTCTCGGAGGACACTTGCTTGATTCTAGAGTTCTAAACCGTAAAACTTAAACCCGGATCTCTAAGACTCTTGGCCCGATATTACTCTGAAGCCCTAAACGGCAGCTTCCTTAAAGTCCTAAGCCCTACACCCGAATTAGACTTGCGCTTGTCGACCTGCAACTTAGCTGCTGGGCTTCGATCTTGCAAAGCTTGATTTCACACCCGCTCAGAACACCCGACTTCAAAGTGGCCCGCGTGCAACAAGCAAGCTTGCTCCAGTCAGGGCTCAGAGTCTTAAGTGTTCAGGTGCGGTTTGCTGAAGTGGAAGACCGTGAGGTTTAAGCAGCCGTAAAGGTTTATTGTGAGCCTCCATCTCGAACAGGCGCCCGACATTGCCCTACGTCTCCCAAGATTTTCGAGATTCGCAGGTAGGAGGTTCGACCCACCAAAGCGGGATCAATGTGAGTTGAGGACCTGGGTTTTGCAGATGCTGGGCCTTGAAGCGAAGGCACACATCCGTGGAATTTGGCTCGGCTCAGGCAGTGTAAGCTTGGTTTTTTTCCGTCAGGCCGTTGGGGTAGTCTCCCGGCTGCATCCAGGGACACCTTCCAAGAGAAAGCTGCTACGCCGTGCTCACGGCTTCGTGTTGAAACTTGCACTGAGCCCTTCCGTGCTCACGCCTAGGCTCCAACGCGAAAGCCCCAGAATGAGTGATGGCCCTGCGCTTGTCAGTATAGAGTGACGGTAGCCTTTATTGCAAAAAGAAGCCCAAGAACCAAACAGCAATAATAATAACAAGACTGATAATAGCAAGAACACCAATAATAATAGTTGTAATAATGATAATAATGATATTCATAATAGTCGCAATAGTAACAATATCAATATCAATAATAATAATAATATTCACACTACTACTAATAATAATAGTAATAATAATAGGTGTATTAAGGATATCGCCTCTGAGGTCAGCGATGGGCTGCTGCGCTTCCGGAGTGCAGCAGCCAGGCGACCCTGCTCAGCGCGCGAAGGTTCCGCGCGCTTTTGGAGGGGTTTCATACCGTTGATGATAAAAATCCTGCATTACCTTAAGGACACCAAACCCGGGGAACTATGATATATTCCTTGTTATGGGTGATGCAGGATTTTTGCATCATCAACCGTAGAGGACTATCAGGATCATTGAGTTGCGGGTTGAGGGCGCAACGGTTAGTTCTTGTTTTTGGAATGGCTTTTTGGGGGTTGTTGCGGTCTAGGATTGTTCCAGCAGTAGTCTGACGACGACGCTACTTCTGATGACGGTCGTGCTAGTCATGATTATTGTTCTTCTTGCCGGTGTTACTCGTGTTGTTGAACTGGTATTGCTGCTGTTACCGTCATTGTCATTTTTCTTGACGCGTTGATTGTGTGGCTATTGACTTCGATAGTCTTTTTCTCATCAGACAGTAGTAGCGGTAGTTGCAGCAGCAGCAGCAGCA